ATCCGTGAGCATCGTTGTTATTCCACTGCTTAAGCGTGGGAAGCGAATACCTTCATGCTCTAGCGAACACCCACAGGGTTCTCCCCTTTCACGACATAATCATTCCCTGGTTTTACCGTTTCTCGTATCGCGTTTGAGGTAATTTCGAAATAATTATTATCTCCGATACTTTTTTGGGTGCTGGAATTTACATACCAAAAATCCAAAATCCAAAATATTAGTTGATGCAGCTAAAATGTCGGATTATATTATTTGTGAAAAAAATTGCTCGTAACAGCATTAAATTATAAATCAAATATACATACATATATGTATATACATTGTATATTTCTTTATCTGTATTCTAAGTTAAAATTAATATACATATAAATCAAAGATCGTGTATTATCTAACTGATAAGTACATTCTAAAATGAAACATTCTAGAATAGATATCAGATATTAGGCAACCATGTAATAATTTAAAGTAAGGCATTCTGCTGTTCAGGCTATGCGAAATATCGTGTTTGAAAAGAATGGCGTTAATGAGCGCGTAGTTCAATGATGGTTCAGTAAATTTCCGTATCGGAGAGACGATCTGCAGAACTTCAGGCTATTCAACCGGACATCATCAATGTTTCAAAAACACGAACATTTAGAAACAAAGTATAATTTATGACTTAAAAAGACTTTGAGAACAGTATATAAATTCGAATAAAAAATGATTTAAATAAATTATAATTTTAAAAGTAACAAATTTTTATTTTTAATATGTATATAACAATATATAACATTATATATACACATTGTTATATACATGAATTATTAAAAATAATGGATTCTTTATTTTTAAATTCTGACATTTTTACTTTAATCCAATATTACGCTACATCATACAGCATATTAACAATTGTCCATCGACTATTCGTTGACCGAAATAATGATGTAACTTTTCATGTTTAGATACGCAAGGAGAGAGACGTAAAGATTCCATATACCTAACAGAAAATTACTTCCTTGTAATAAATTCTTACAATTTTATAAGTTTTATACTCTGTGCAAAAAGAGGTTGATATTTCCACAGATAATATAGTATCGGTCGTTGCGAGTTTATATAAATAATTATTAGCGATATCAATTGATATCTCTGTCTCAACGATAAACGATAAATGATAATTTATAAATCAATTCTCTATATTAGTCACTTCAAATCCGATAAATCTCAAAATTAATGATAGATTTATATTTAAAAGAATTTTCTCGCAAATCGTTTGGACAATCACGAAAGTCGATTGTTTCATTAAGAAAAGTTGAATGTACGGATGCTTTTAATGGATTAATAGACATAGACGTATAAATGAAATTGAAAGGTCCTAAATGGGAAAGATTCCACGGTAGCGCAAAGAAAAGCCGTGGAGGACAAAAAGATAAATCAAGCATTCACCAGCTCGCGTAATAATACTTTTAAATGATTTTTCTTTAAGCTCCATTTTCGAGAAGCTTATACAGTACGTGAGAGGAAATTGGAAGGAAATTCTGTCGGTTTCTTTGCAGAAACTTTATTTAAAAATAAAAAACTTAATTTATTACCTCTATTTATTATATTTGTGTCAAGATATAGCAAATATAAAACTTCATATCTTGTATCGATCAATGATATTCATATCAACTATATATCTTGTTGTTCGATTAGTATAGTCTATGATTTTTATTATAATTGAGGTACCAAGAGGCGATGAAAATGACATATAGCGCTACTTGCGTTGACCTAACGGTCTCGTAGCTTTCTCGCTTGAATGCACAAAAAATGTGGATGTTACGGTAACATGTACTCTTTGCAATGTTAACTATAATTCGTAACTGAATTTAAAATGTTTCTCCGTGCGCTAGTCGAGCGACGTCACGCTTAGTCGTCCATGAAAACGGTTGCTAAGAATGTATCGTCAAATTTAATATCATACTATTTATATAAATAAGCACAAAAGTTATTAGATATTATTTTTTTCTTCTGTACTAGATATCCTTTATCTTTATTATTAAAAATCTTTATTTTTATTATTCACTATCTTTGTTATTAACCTTTATCTTTTATTAATGTTCTTTATCTTCACTATTAGAAATCTTTATCTTTATTATTAGATGTTCTCTAATTATTGACGAAGAACTGTTAAATTGGATAAGCGAAAGTATTTAATAATTATAATTTTAAATACGTTTTATCAGAATAATTCTATCTAATGCCAAAATAGTTTTCAATATATTAATCCTGATAATTCTAATAATCCTAATAAATTTGTTAGAAAAAGTATTAATTAGTCACTAAATATAGGTATTAAAAAACACACACACATTAGCAAACAAGAAAAATTATTTCACGCAAACTATTGCTGATCTGATATTTTTTACTTTTTGTATGACAATCAATTCTATTAACAGAAATCTTGTAAAGTCAGAACAAAATAAATTCGTAAGAAATTCTGATATGTAGTATAATATGATTAATGAAATTTAAAGTCACGTTTGTTTTAAAAATATCAGCATACAATTGTGACATAGTCACAAATAAAATCTGCTTTATCTTACAATTACTTGTAATAATTATTCAAAATAAAAACCAATTATATAATTATTAATATATTTTGTTACTGCAAAACTAATACTATATGCCTACAAGAAAATTATTTTTGTTAACTATTTTTATTAATTTTTAATAAAATTTTCTAGTCAAGAGAAAGTAATTTATTTGTAATTTTATTGTATGTTTCTTATTTTTACTTGCGATAGAAATTATAACTGTAATAAAGATATGATGATTATCTGATAATTCATTTTTTTACATCTTAATTGAAATTAACAGCATTGAGAGAGGTTCATGCTTGCGATAATCCAAGTTTATCGCAGCCAGTGCCAGTGTAGTGAAAATTGATGATAACGTTGTAAGGTACAGATTTCTCGAAGTGTCACGACAGTTACTGATTCGACGTATCTAACAACACGTCAAAGATGGCAAAACAAGTTCGCCCTTTTGTAATCATCAGTTTAGTTGCATCCACTATTCTATACTCAGGTACGAAATAAATTTTCGAAGATTTGATTATATTATTAACGTTGTACTCAACAAAGAATTTAAATAAAAAGATTTAAAAAAATATCATTTTATTATAATAAATTATGATCATTACAATAACATGTCGTATAATAACAAATATTTTTCTTTTAATTAATAATGCAATTATTAAATTTATTTTTCCAAGCTGAAGAATATTAATATAAAATTATGAAACACACACAATTGAAAATTTATTTGTCTCTTCATGAATCATATTTTTTTTTTTTATTGTAGTACTTCCTGATTTGAACGAAACTTGGGGAAGAATACCTAATGTTATATAAAGGAAATTGTAGTAATTTTGCTTCTTTCGCCATAAATACATTAACAAAACGCAACGCCAACATACCTCTTGTGCTAATTAGTCTCCTATATAGTCTCTAATGCTTTATTTGTATTTATTCGCTTGTGTTTATTCTAGATGCATCTTAAGAAATTTGACAATAAATGCTTTCATTTTTTTCATATTTCATTATATTTGATACTGTTACACTGTTAGAAATATTCTTAAATTTCATTAACTTTTAATGTACATTGGTGAATGAAGTTTAATTTCTCTGTAACTGAAAGGACTATTAATGCACATGTAATGAGATTTAAGTTTACAGTAAGTGAAAAATTAAGTGTAATTTAATATACTTTTCATTTACGGATATAAATGACATTTAATTAATCGTAATTGAAATAACTATTAATGTACATATTAATGAAATTTAATGTACTGTCACATTTATGAATATTAATAATATTTTAATTAAGCCTAATACTATTAACGCTTAACGTTTAGTACGTTTACATTTCTTACATGTCATTAATGTAAATTACTTTTCAGTTACAGATCTCGTACTTTTCATTAACGTGTAAATTAATTTCTATAATAACGTGTTCATTAATTTCAATACACACGTTCATCACATTTAAGACTACTGTAATTTAGTTTTTATTTACATCATTCATTACATTTAATTTCGTGCATAACCACATGCTTCCTTTACATGTTAATTAAAATTCATTGAGAAATTTCTAACAGTGTACTTTATACTTAAGAATAATAATAATAAAACCTTGACAATCAATAAAAACTGTATGACATGATTCATATAAAAGTATTTTCGTTAACTTGTTCTTTTAAAGGAAGTGCATTGAAATGTTATCAATGCATCTCGCTAGAAAACGGGAACTGTGCAAAGGGTCGACTGTCAGATGAAATGATTATGGAATGTACATTACCAACAACGCCACCTACTACGATTACTACATCAAAGACTACAACAACGACGGGCAGTACTCCGACTCCAACAACGACGGGCAGCACCCCGACACCAACAACGACGGGCAGCACCCCGACACCAACAGGGACGGGCAGCACCCCGCCACCAACAGCGACGGGCCGCACCCCGCCACCAACAGCGACGGGCCGCACCCCGCCACCAACAGCGACGGGCCGCACCCCGCCACCAACAGCGACGGGCCGCACCCCGCCACCAACAGCGACGGGCCGCACCCCGCCACCAACAGCGACGGGCCGCACCCCGCCACCAACAGCGACGGGCCGCACCCCGCCACCAACAGCGACGGGCCGCACCCCGCCACCAACAGCGACGGGCCGCACCCCGCCACCAACAGCGACGGGCCGCACCCCGCCACCAACAGCGACGGGCCGCACCCCGCCACCAACAGCGACGGGCCGCACCCCGCCACCAACAGCGACGGGCCGCACCCCGCCACCAACAGCGACGGGCCGCACCCCGCCACCAACAGCGACGGGCCGCACCCCGCCACCAACAGCGACGGGCCGCACCCCGCCACCAACAGCGACGGGCCGCACCCCGCCACCAACAGCGACGGGCCGCACCCCGCCACCAACAGCGACGGGCCGCACCCCGCCACCAACAGCGACGGGCCGCACCCCGCCACCAACAGCGACGGGCCGCACCCCGCCACCAACAGCGACGGGCCGCACCCCGCCACCAACAGCGACGGGCCGCACCCCGCCACCAACAGCGACGGGCCGCACCCCGCCACCAACAGCGACGGGCCGCACCCCGCCACCAACAGCGACGGGCCGCACCCCGCCACCAACAGCGACGGGCCGCACCCCGCCACCAACAGCGACGGGCCGCACCCCGCCACCAACAGCGACGGGCCGCACCCCGCCACCAACAGCGACGGGCCGCACCCCGCCACCAACAGCGACGGGCCGCACCCCGCCACCAACAGCGACGGGCCGCACCCCGCCACCAACAGCGACGGGCCGCACCCCGCCACCAACAGCGACGGGCCGCACCCCGCCACCAACAGCGACGGGCCGCACCCCGCCACCAACAGCGACGGGCCGCACCCCGCCACCAACAGCGACGGGCCGCACCCCGCCACCAACAGCGACGGGCCGCACCCCGCCACCAACAGCGACGGGCCGCACCCCGCCACCAACAGCGACGGGCCGCACCCCGCCACCAACAGCGACGGGCAGCCCCCCGACACCAACAACGACGGGCAGCACCCCGACACCAACAACGACGGGCAGCACCCCGACATCAATAACGACGGGCAGCACCCTGCCATCCCGGCTGACGGGCTGCACGCCACCAACCACGCTAACAAACAGCATTCCGACAGATCAGGATGACTGTAAGGAAAAATTAATGCGTTTTGTTTCTCGTTTTTTTCTGTTTCTCTCTTATGAAATTAATACTTTTTTAAATTAAGTATATTTAAAAAATTAATTTTAAGATATCTGAATTTGTAAAGTAAAAATATAATTATTCATTAATATTTATTAAAGATTAGAATAAAAAGTTTAGAATACAAAAAACCTTTTTAAAATTTAATATATAATTATGTGTCGTATTAAGTTTTAATTATATTGTATTTCTCATAAGAAATGACCATTTCTATTTAAATACCAATCATTTTAACATTTTGTTAGTTTTAATGTTAATACAATATGTTAGTATAATTAAATGTAAATTTTAATTAAAAATTTTTTTTTAATATTAATTAATAAATTTAATTTATTCTTTATTAACTTCTATTCCTTGAATCAAATTCTTCTATTATAGAATAATAATTTTTTTTTATACTTACTTTCAATTTTTTTATGACAAATTTTAGAAAATACGTGTTATATACATTTATACAATATTTACTAAAATTTTACTTTTTTAGTAGTAATGAACCGTCGCCATAGTAGACTACGAAGAAGCATTCTTCCTTACATTCAACAAAATACATATGCAGAAGAATGGAGTTGTGCTATAATTAAACATTGTAAGTATTATATGTTTCGATATTTTATACATTACGTATATTTCTTTTGCATGGCAATAAAAAATAATAATTCCTAGTAATAAATGATGTTTTTTTTTCTAGATTACCATAACACCACTATAGCCACTGAACGTAAATGCGTTCTTTCCAGTTATACGTGCCCTGATAGTACATGTAATATTACAAGACAATGCTATGAAGATAAGTGCAATAATGCTAATGTGATATCAGTTAATACGATAACTTTAACATGGCTTATACTTTCGTGGGTGACTATTAATTTTAACATTTTTACTAGTTTTTATTAATTTTCGAACTTGAAGCGTTGTAGTAGCATTGTATCATGTCTTAAAACTAAAAAATATCTTAAAACTAAAAATGTTCAAGCAAGAATCTATGTTTAGGGGCTAATGTAAATACATTTACCTAATAAATTTCATCAAGTCAAGCGTTATGTATCAAGCAAATACGAAAAGCGCATATTCCTAAGAATAAACTATAAAATTCTTCTTCAAGTTTTTAACTTGTTTATTATTTTTAATATTATGTTAATTATTTTTAATATTTATAAGAAATTCAAATTATAAGTGTAATCCAGACAGTTACGACAGTAAAGAAACTGTGATACCGCAATATTTTTCAACGATGTGTAACTGTAGATATCGTTTCAATACTTTCACAAAGATTATTAAATTTATTTATTCAAAATTTTCCGGTTTTATAATATATTTTATATTATAATTATTCCCATTAACGTTAATTAAATCAAAGAGTTTTATTCTTCTTTATTAACGTATAGAGAACACGTTTATATTTTCTTAAATTTCCTCTATATTGTATAATACAATTTCTTTTTATTTGAAAATTACAGTGTTTAGTATGCTTCAAAGGCGTGATTTACTTAATCGCACGTCGATAATCGTAGTACTTTTACAGATTGGCACCGATGTGTTATATGTATACACTCTGAACGGATACGCATTCAATTAATTAAAGAACACTTAGGCAGTTCTATTGCTTTACTGAATTTCTCTCATCTATTCGCGCTTCAAGGCGCCCGCAGTATGTTTACAACGACGTTACCGGATGCAGTAAATGAAATTGCGTTACGCTTACATGGATAATGTCATGGAGTTAGCAACGACAAATTTCGCAGCCAGCTCGAGCCTCGCGTTTTGGATCGTAAATTAAAAGTAAAACATTTTTTTCCAGAAACAATTAATGAAGCTGTCAAACGTAGATGCGCTATTTCCGACTTCTGTCAAATTTTTAATAGAATTTTCAAATTTGAAATTTGTCATGAATGCAGATCTGTGTAATATATTCGCTGAATTTGGTATCAAGTATCAAGTATCATAATAATAGCTTTAAAATTTATTACGTTATTATAGACAATTCATTGTTTTTATAGATTATATTTATGATTATTTAATCTTGTACTTCGTTATATTATACTATTTAAAAAAATCTGTTTACATAAAGTTATTATAACATATATTTATGTTCTTGCAGCTATTAAGCTGTTTTTCAGCTAAACATTATTTTATAATTCATATTAAATGTTACATTGAATGCTACAAAGAAAACTGAAAGAATTGTATTAAACGTGTTATTTATAATAATATAACTAGATTTTCATATAAATATTTTGTTAACGCATCAAATGTATATTTAGACTGATATTTATCAAATATATCTGTTTCACAGAAATATGTAATAAATTTATAGGTAAAAAATTTTAATTCAAAATTCGAATTTAATACAGCAATTGTACAATGACGATGTGTACAAGATGGTATGAATTTCCTGAAAAATCGAATGGACATTTTCTTGCTTTTGCGATTTAATGTAAGACATCTAAGAACTTTTCTTCAGAAGATGCATTATGCAAAACTGGACTGCAGCAGTGTGAGAAATTCTGTTCTGATATGCCAGGAAGAGTGCATATACGAGACCTTATTTCTTTCGCGAATCACAATGAGCGAGGAAATTCTCAAGGTTCTATGTCCCTCTCAACGTTCGCAACACTTCTTCGCATTATGATAAAGTGTAGATCTAACTGTAAAGTCTTAGACCGCTGGCTACGCAACGAAATTGCATAAAGACCATTCTGCGATGCTGTCTTAATCTTGTCTTGTCTTTCGTTATACGTTTCTAGTGGCTGAAGAAAAATGTATGTATTTTTCTATTTAAAAAAACTGTAAAAAATTAAATAAAGTTATAAAAACATAAAATTAGGATTCTCTTGTCTTTAATGAACAACAATTTACGCAACGCTGTATTTTTTATGACCAGCTCACATGATGTTATACAATAGAAAATTGTTCCGTCTGGATAATGTAATATAAATCTTCAATTACCATCTAAATATAGGAAATTATAAAACTAATAGATGCAAATAATATTAATATATAGAATCTATGTATATAATTATTAACTTGATGCGTGGTATTATTTATATTACTTATTAACTATAAAACTAAAATATTATTTTGAAGTAACTGACTATAATAAAAAAAATTTTAAGACTATACTTTGCTTGTGCTGCTGTCTTTGTACAAATTGTTACCAAATATGTCAAAAATACTTTATTCATTTCAACGGCGCTTAACGCTGTTTATTTCGCCATGTAATTACTATGATGAACATTTCTCACACGATTTCTGTGTATATTGTTTATAAATTCATATACATGGATATCGTTATAACTTTCATCCCTTGACTTTTACATAATGCATAATATATTTGTAACAGGTTCCTCGCATATAATTTTCTATTAATATTATGTAGAAAAAGCGGTGGAGTAAGCTCTTTTCCAACGAAACTTTCGGCGACCGCGGCGACCTTAATGAATTAAATTCGGCGCAATTCTAATAATTTCGTTGCTTTTTAATTTGTTAATTCTTGCAAGATTAACTCTTTTCATTTGTACGAATAATTATTACATTAAAATAAACTTATTTTAACACGTATCTTACCTGCAGAATATTGGTTCATGCATATTAATTACATATAAAAAAATCGCTAAAATATTAATATATGAGATAAGATATATATTTATAACCTGTTTTTTTTCTAGTAGAATGTATTTCTGATATATTTCTTGATATATTGATATTTACGTATATTTATTTTTATTTTATTTTATTTTTGTATTATATTTCGACCGTTCATTGCACTTCGCGGCGGAAATTGATCGTAAACGAAAGTTTATTCGGAACGGTTAATTAGTTCCTTGATATGCATATAAAGTAATTAACCGACACAAGGCGAGAGTAATGTAATCATCGTGCGTTCCGCTCATTATCTGCTTATATAATACTTCGAAACTTAACTATAAGTATAAATACTTGGTTAAATTGCGACTTAAGTATCAGTTTCGATTTTAACTGTGCAATCGTAGCAAGTATGTTATGATTATGATATAATTAGAACGGTAAATTTTAGAATTTTTTGATTTCTTGCCGCTCAGATAACCGTAATTTAATCATGACAGAATTAAAATCGAAGAAATATTTTATTTTTTTCTTCAATTTTAGTGATAAAAATCGTAACATTGCAGATAAACTTTTTCTTGACTCAAATTAATTTTCTCCTATTGAGAGTGCGAAACCTCGTTTGTTTAAAACGTCGTCAAACTACTCGTATAGTATATCGCGCGTCATTTCTGGTAAGACTCACATTTCCGTGACATGTCGTCGACGTCGCATCGGCCCTCTATTAGCAGATTGCTAAAGGCTTTCTGTGGCTGTACAACGAGATTCGATTACGGCAAACCTCGTAAACTTCCAATATTACGGCTGAGAAAGCAGTACTCGTAGTACCCGTTGGGAGGCAGATTTCCCCGTTTACTTCCTCGATCACTCACCCGCTTCAAATTTGCTCATTTCCTTTTGCTTCTCGTCATCAATGAAAGAAAGTGCCCCTAAAGCTACTTTTTTTTGTCATTCATTCATAATATCTCCAATCTTCATAAAAGCATCTTCACGGTATTGAAACGAACGCAAGTCGATTCTTTTATTACGGTAAATTTTTTCTAATTAATAGATATATATATATATATAATAAATAAAAGAATAAGCTTTAGCATTCGCTATCATATTTCATCATACTTATGAATTTTGTTATTTTTATTTTATGCTTGTCATTATATTTACTAGATTGTATCTTGCTTTTCCTTAAATGTTTATTACACTATCGCTCACAGAACGTATGGATATATACGTAACGTAATATACGTGAGTAATATATTGCACTTGAAAGTCCATATAGATCATCCCTGTGGGATTATTACATACGGCGAAACAAAGTCATTTTCGATTAACGATATCTTATTTCTAAAGCTCTCAAGATAATCTTCCTTTTTGAAGTTTATTACCGCATATTATTTCGTTAAGACGTTAAAGCGAAAGTTGTATGAAAATAGAGAAAATCTCATATAATCTTAACGCAATATTAATTACGACAGGCCAATTTAGATGCATGTCGCTTGATTGATTTCCTTCGTATACCACAGATGAGAAACGCTGGCCGCTAATGCTCATACATGGTTTGACTCCAATTAGTAAAACCCCGAGGGATTTACCTACCGAATCGCTTATATACGCAAACCCTAAACGCAATTAACACTGACGTGGCTACAAACCATTACTTATCGGTAGGTGAACGTAACTTTGTCCTTCATGAATCGTTTGACTGGCTAAACGAAGTAGATGTATGGCGATACAACTCGACGGGTTGCGAAAACCGACAAAAGACTTGAACAAATCTAAACTCTTAATTGTGTAGCACCATAATAATTTCGCACATGAGAGCGATAGGAGGCAAGTACAGAAGATGAACTTGATGAAAATATATTGAGTTGTTGCGCGTTGCTTTCATGGCGTTTACGGTGTTATTACAGCCATTTCAGACTTGCACGATAAAATATATCTCATCCTTCAGTTGTGCATCCGCCGCGCATGTTATAACTATGCCAGATTAAGCGAGAAATATCAGAAATTACGATGCGTCCGCAAAGAAGCGAATTTTCCTTGACGCGCATTAGTGATATAGAAACAACGAGCGGTTTCTTCTACTGCTCGCACAATGATCGCAGAACTGACTGAAAAATTATGTCATAATCCTTCTTATCTGTACGTTCCAAATACAGATATTTTATTATATAAGAAAAAAATAATATTTATTATTATAGAAAAAATTCATGTTTTTAAAAAAAATTTATTTTATGACAACTGATATTTAATTTTATATATTTTACATTTTGTTTTGTTGCTTTTGATGAAGAATTTCTTTCTTTTATCTCTTTCTCTGTAAATTTTGTGCCTGTTTCAGATCCAGATAATTATAGATTTCAAAATTGTTAACAATGTTATGTGTATAAATCTAATTTAAATTTATTATACATTTTTTGCATTTAAATATGTTGATGTGATATGTTAATCTACTGCGTTGAATCCAGATGTCACAAAAGTTTAGTTATACTGACATTGGAAATCTAACACCTCTGTGCAAAACCGGTTCTGAAGAAATATTGCATTTTCTGCATATATTTTTACTACTGCGTTGCACATTGGTTGCATTTACGTCTTTCTTGCACTAGCTTTTATTACCTTTTCGCCACAATTTCTTCCTTGCGCTCTTTCTATCTGCAATTAGAAAATTTCATTCATTATACTTGCTAATTCTGTCATTTCGCATCCGTTAGAGAATGCTGTAGCCATACATTTTTCATGCATAAGAGAACAGTTAACATGATAGTATATAAGAAGAGAAATTTAAATAATAATTTCGGGAATTTATACATATTTAAATTATTAAATGTTTTTTTGCAATGTAAAGAAAATCTAAGAGACGATTTTCGTTCCTAATGATAGAGAATATAGCATCTCTTTTTTGTATAGAATAATATATGAAAATAAATCTTGGATTCATCAATATACAATTAGGCAATTTTAATTTAGATGATCTTGCATTTTTTCATTGTTTGTTGTTAACGTGCGACATTAGGTACCGGATTGTGTATAACAAATGCGCGCAGAAACGATTTTAATTGCGTGTAATAATTAAAGGCGTTATTGTTGCCAAATATCCGGCTCGCGCACAGTCAGAAATATAAAAACATGCGGCGACGAAAGGGTTGAAAGAAGCGGATATTCGCGAATTATTCGCTATTCGTGACGTGCAGAGTTGCATTTTATGATTGCTGTGACGTTGATAAATGATTCGTGATTATACTTTCCTATGTCATAATTGACAACCAATATCGTGATCAATGAATAACCGGTTAAGAAATATTGTTTAACAATTCTGTATATATATATGACCTGGCTAGATAAAAATATTATTTTTGCTGCATACTTAAATTTTCAATATTATATGTCGTATAAAATTGATAATGAAGAGAATAAAAATTAGTAACAAAATAAGAGATAAATTTAATATCATAAAATCACTCATTTATCATAATGTTTTTTAATTCACGGTGGATTAATAAAATATATGACAGTAGCGTATTTAATAGTACATTCGCAATTACGATTTGTCTCATTTTCCATCGCGAGAATGAATCCTCTACCTTGCAAATCCCTTCGCTTCGTATTCCACAAATCTTGAATCGCTTAATGCCTAAAATACGGGACCGCTTAACAGCGCATCGAATTCGCAATACACATGGATAACTGTGATTTATCGATGGGAGAGAATCAAACGATGCTATTCGACGGGTGTGCACAGTATCGTAAATTTTCGAATAGATTTACGATCGAAAGCGAAATCTTCCAGAAGGGACTGAAGATTTGTCGCCTAAATTTATGCGAGATCCACTCGTATCATTTTACTAATTAAAACGTTAATCTCATAAAAAACAAAATGCTGTCGAATTCTATGTATTTTAATTTTCCACACACGCGCGCGCGCACACACACACACACGCACACACACACACACTCATCTCGTTTTTCTCTTATTCATAATTATGAGCGCATATATGCACATGCGATTTCGTATAAAAATTGTAAACCTTCCGTGATACGTTTTCCAATAAAAAAGCAGCAACAAATCGTTAAATTTCATGATGGATAGTTTCGCATTTGAAACGTAAAGGTAACGACGCTTACCAAAAGTAATGTTTTGCAAAACCGAAATGTTTCCATCACTTTCGACACCGACTGTGGAATAGACATTCGAGATCTCCATGTTCTAAATTACAAGATAAATCGTTTGATATGGCAGAGCTTTTTCCTCCAATTTCATGTGTATAAAAAATGGTTGTCCAAACATAAAATAAAATTAATGTTTAAAAATGTAAGGATCTATCCTCATCATTGTTTAAAGCTTAATTATAATTGAATTTAAAAAAACAATTTACTTGTTAATGTGTAAAAACAACTGCTATTTATTTGACTATTTGTTCCACGAATTTATTCACAAAAAACAATTTCTAGAGCATCTTGTATATACATGAATAAGCGGTCACACGATTTTGTTGTTAATGTCTTCCGTTCTCTCTTTTTGTTCAATAATTATTTCATTTAATAACAAGAATCGCCGCGGAAATGGCTTTTATTAGTTCTATTCATGGCTTTTTACTGTGCGTTTCACTGTGCGGTATAAGAGAAAGAAGAGAAAAGATGTTTTCAGAGCTCGCATGCGACGGAACTCGCCCGGGAAGTCAAATCGTGCTAAAAATGCTTCTTTATATAAAAGAGTTTCTTTCTTTAAAAGAACTTTTATTCACTTACATGAAGAAATATATAAATCAGTGATAAAAAAAAAGAACAATTTATAAAACAAGTACCTCTTAATATATCACGTTTTCTGCAACGTGTATTTTGCATTTTACAGTCACAATGCGGACACATTGACCCCAATTTCAAATGTATATTCCCGACTATTCAAGATATAATAAATACAATGCGCATAGACAGTTATAGAATGTCAAAGTAGTCTAAAAATATCCCTTTATCGCATTACGTCACAATACATGAACAATAGAAGACAAATTCCTTCGGGACTAAGTAACAAAGCTCGCTTAGACAAAGCAGCTGGATCGTGCTTAGACAAAGCGGCGGATTCGTCCTAAATTCGACTTGTCGCCGGAGGGAACAGAGGATGAGAGTTGTAACTATAGTAACACGTGTTTAATCGCGACTGAACCGCAGAAACAAGTACAAAGTAAAAGCTTCCCGACGTTCGTTCGGAACATTCCGAACAACACAAACGACGGACCGTCGTGGTGTATAAGAGTAGCTGAGAGATTCGCGAACGTCGGGCACTGCGACGTGGAACAGTAATTGTGGGAGTGCGTCCGCCGTTCTCCGACGAGGTCTGTGTACTCCCTCGCCGTATGTGTACAGCTATACACGCACGCGGGTCACGCAGGCACGCGTGTGTCCGCAGATCGCACGGCGATCGGCCGTAGCAGCGAGCGCGGGAGGTGCACCGAGCGAATGCACGTTATGCACGACGAGGCGCCTCAGTCGACCGCCACCCTTCGAGACCGACGGTTCGTCGCCGTTCTCCATCTCGCCGGAGAGAAGGAGGGGAGTCCACCTGTGTCGGAGTGTTTATCCTCTACCTTGCGCACGAGCATCAGCTCCGAGATACGTCCCATTCAGCGAGGTTTCGAGGTGCGCGCATCTCGTTACGGTGCGAACTTGCGAATCGTGGAGGGTGGACCGAGGGGGGTGCTTACCTTCGTAGCGGTGCATTCGGATCGCTCTTTCTTTTTCCCCTCTGTACCTACGAGTGCGAGTTATTATTATGCGTCACTACTGAGTTTGAGGAATCTCCAAGAAACGCTGAACTCCAGAGGCAGAATTTAAGCATCGTGATTACCCGTTTCCAATCGTGAGTATTAACAGAATTATTTTTATTTTTTATTACACTTTAATTGTAGCAAGTGACTGACATTTTCCATCACAATTTAATTGTAGCAAGCGTTCTTTGTGCTTAACATACTTTATCCAATATTCGTACCAACTTTGTAATTTAATTTTTCTCGACAACACAAATACGGCGCTCTCTTAGACAAATAATAATTTTCAAAAATGAAATAGAAAAATTCCAGATTTTTGTATGGCATTGTGTAACATGAACGCTGTTACATATTTTAAAATGCTGCTGCTACTACAAAAAAAGCAAGAGAAATTTGTAAATTTCTTATAAAACTCTGGATTAAAAAAAAATTAGAAAAGGTTAAAAGCTATAATATTTATGTACATACATTGTTAGCACATTAAGTGATTATTTACAATTTTGGAGCAATGTCATAATTTATTTGTTAAAAGCTGCAATTTCAATCAAAGATTTACATTTTCGATGGATTATTTTTGATTTGTTATTATTTTGATGTTTTCTCATTAATGCAGTTCATTAACATATAATATGAAGTGATTTAAAATGAATTTATCGAAGAATTACTGCACGTAATAATTAGACTAATTAGGACGATTCAATTATAACACGTAACAGAACATAAACACACGTGGTAGAATATAATAAATATTATGATTTATAGCGGCAATTAATGAATGCTTTAATCGACAGCCAAATTCATACATTAATAAATACCACGAATATTGCGATATCACGTACAAACGCGACAACTATGTTTCATACACGAAAATATGCAATGAGCATATTGATAATTAATGCCTACAACGAATTATCGATCTATTTTTCCGATAATGAAAAATAACTTAGTGATGCGCGTCAAAAAATTTTCACATAATTTATTACGCAAAACATCCAAGAACACATCAAATTTTACGTGCAAATCTGTGTTCTCGTAATCACATGCATTATACTTTAATTGTCTGGCTCGAGTCGGGTTGAGAGAACGAAGAAAACGGCACGTCGCGTGTCGTCGCGAACGGAAGAAACGAGTTTCGAAAATGAGAGCATGCAATCGTTTCCGCGAGACACTCGGTCGTGGTTAAATTCCAAGTGTCTTAGACCTTAAGGAGGAAAAACTGCGTGTGCTGTGTACGGATTACGTACAACATCCGTTCACGATAGGAAAGGAAATCCTGATGACAACGACTCCGATCTCCCTATTCAGAGACCGGGTGCGAAAGCAATTCGCACAAAGACGTTCTATCCAACTATGACATATGTGGCGTTCAAATCCTTTATCTCTCGGCCACCATGCCTCTTCTGTGCTTGCATAAGTGAGCAGATTGTTTCATGTCTCAAAATTTTGAGTGTATTATATATATGCTTGAGTGAATACACTATGTAAAGACAATCTTTTATACAATTTGAAAATTTCTGTTAATTTATTCAAAGTACCCCGCTTTATTCTAATCCGCACGTTTTTCATTACGCTAAATTAAAATTCCGAATAACAATGTACTTTCAAAGATGGACGTGACTATTCGAGCGTAGCCGATTCTTCTTCTCAGGAAGCGACGGATTTCATTCATTCTCGTTTCCCGAATTCAGTGCATTCACCGATCCAGCGTGCTCACAGATATTTTATCGGCGTGAAGATTTCGACGGTGCTTACGAGCATCTGGCGGCGTCGTGCTTTCCACCAAATTGCTTCCACCCACTCGCGGATGAGAATACCGGGACATCACGGAATCGAAGCTATCTGGACCGTCGAGCTCGTTAGAGATGCGAAATTTGCATTTGTACGCGCGTACTTTCCGCTAATGAGGATAACGAAGCGTGTGTTAACGGGGAACTAACGATCGCCATTGCGCCGCGCCGGCGCGGCATCCGTGAAGATGATCGTGCACAGGTGCATTCTTCGTCGAAGATATGCGTTCGTTCTTTCATCCCCTGCGTTACGAAACGTTCGTTATACGAAGAAACTTCTCGGGAGATCGAGGATCAGTCTCCGCTCTAAAACGAGGGTAATTACTTCATAAAAGTGACTGCTCTTCTCGATACGTCCTTATCTTGGAAACTTCAAACGTAACTTTTACGTAACTTTTCCACCAATGTTTCAAGATAAAAGGGATCGGGGTGCAAGAATCTTAAATTATTAAGTACGAGACCAAGCGAATGAATTTTATACGTTGAAAATCTAAATGGTGCACTTCTCGTAGATAGCATTTATTTCTATATTTTATCTTAACGAATAACACAGTTTCTTAACTTTAAATACGTTCGAAAGTTCTCTCTAACTTTAAAGCGTAATTACTTACTCGAGTTGTAATTATTAACGCGAATGTGCATACCAAAGGACGCACGTTCGAGCCAGCGGTTTCACATGAAATGTTCAACTCTTGAGCCAATATTATTACATCTTAACGACTAGGAAGCAATTCTTTTGCGTTACACAGGCAACTGAGAACAAATGTGGACACGTCTACGTGCGAACAACGCGGTCTCTACGTGCGGAAAAGACGAAACCGGATTTGGTGTTAGACTTTCGCGATCGGTTCGTCGTGCTTTCTTTCCTTCGTTGTTTCTTCGTTGTCGACCGCACCTCTCACGGCACGTGTGAGAAAACGGATATCCTACGGACGGTCCAGAGACGTGTGTGAAATATCGCGAACACTGCAGGAGGAAAGTTTTCCATGGAAAGTACTTCCGCACGATTGCAATGCAGATCGGATTTGTTTCCTCTTTTTTCTTTTTTTGAAGGCTACGTGACGTGATGTGCTCCTCCATTTTTACATAAGCGTGAACGTGGCGAAAAGAACATTTTTCAAGCTCGTCATATCCAATGAAAAGAATTTCGTCACATAAATTATTGAAACAAATTATGATATAATGAAAAAAAGAAAACTTTATGATATAACGAAAAATATTATTTGATTTGATAATTGACTTCCAAATTTGATTATCTCTAATTTCCCTGTTGTACTCAATTTCCTTTCATGCGCACGATGGGATGCTGAAATGACGTTTGCTCATAAAATTTCGCTATGACACGGTTTTCATGACGCTTGACAAATATTCCACGCTTAATTCGATTAAGAATGACGCGTCGTGTGTTTCGAGCGAGCGTAACAAACACGGCGATCGCGTGCTGCCGCAGAAGTCCATTAATTGCACCTCTCCATTTCAATTCTGCGTCGCGGCGAGAGTCTGAAATCGAACGGGCGCACGCTCTTTGCACAAGCCGTCGTTTTTCGCTCGTAAATCTTAACCGCGGTTGTTTCGCCGCATGAACGAACGAACGAGCGAGCGAGTACGAATTTCGCAACTCGCACTACAATTAAATCGTACCGAAAGAAAACACTATCCGCGAACAGATACCGCCAAATGGTCGCACCGAGCGGCTAGAAAAATATCGAGAGAAAAAACGGGATGCTGGTAGAATAAAGCGGAGATCAATTGCGGCGTATCCTGAATTGTTAGGCCAATCTAATGCAATTACGACGGTATGGGAGAAACCGCGAGTCCGCATTTCCCGCTGTTGGGCCGTAACGCGCACGCGAGAAATCGCCGGATGGCAGAGGCGAAAAAAGGGAACAGTGTGGCAATAATTATTCCCAGCCTGCGAACTCATGTGTACACGTGCGTATGTATCTTGATATCTTGAATATCCTTATCACGGTCGATCGGCATTAACATGGCTCGCATAATCGGAACGTGTCCGTGCAATTCGTCGTTTAATTAATTCGCCCGCGATTCCCACGGCAAATCGGCAACGAAATCGCACGTTATTATTCGTAATTTCGTGTCGATATGTCTAATTTTGCGAAATGCATCTGCAACACCCTTCTAGATCTTTCGCGTTGGATATGACAAGCTTGAGAAATTTTTTTTTTTACAAAACGTACCTTGATTCTTTCTCTTTCAGCAGGATAGGACAAGAAAAGATAAAGTTCGCGTGATTCTATGCGCTTGCGTTCGTTTTTGTTGTTTCTGCAATTCCGTTTATTTTCTAGTCGCGTCGTGTTAACAAGAGCACCAGACATTGACAGGACTACGTTGCTGGAAAAAAATAGGAAAGCGCCGAAATCGCCGCGCGAATTCTGCACCACACATTTCACTTGCAAACAAAAACTCGCGGGACACTGGGGATTTACCACCTTTTACTAGGATTTCTCTTCGCTTCGGTATGGACGCGTTCATTATCGGCGCTGATAACGATCGCGAGAGTCGACGTTTACCCTGTCGAATTTATTACACTCGATCGAACGTAAGCGAATCGTTGGTTTCCGCTGTGGCTTTCGCATATTTGCGTTCGCGATCCTCCGAGAGAGCTGAAGCGTAAGTCATGACGACCGGTCAGCCGAGCGTGGATCGATCCCGATACGCGCGTAAAGGCGTGAAAAATCACGATTGCGAAAAGGAAGCAAAAGGTAGGCGAAAAGTGAGCGAAGCGAGAGAGTGATACGCATGGAAGCGCAAAATTGTATCGCATCGCGAATAAGCCGCCATGTGTTTGCTTCCGACGTGCATGGAAATTAGATCACCGTGTCATAAACACGTACGCATCCAGGATCCGCAATTTCGAGTATCGCTGATCGGGAATCACGTATTGAGATGCTATTTTACGATCGTTATTGAGGTGCGAATTGCGAAAGAGGGAGAAAAATCGAGACCACAGTCGACATAAAACAGCGCATAAATGTTGAAAATAATTCAAGGCAAAAATTAGATTGGATGGTTCAGCAAAGCTACAGCTTGCTGGACAAGTTCAACATCTATAATTAAGATGGTTTAACAAAGAAATAATGTCTGTAAGTAATTATCAGTATGCTAATTCAGCTAATTCTTTGCTACAATGAACATTGCTAATGTAACAAGTTTTCTTCATTACAAAAGTACATTTGCTATGCTATTAAAACAAATATAATTACCTATAATCGCTAATTTTATTCAGCTGTATAACTAACTGTGCTACTTTAAGAAAACTGGCGGTCTGTATATTTACTGCAGAT